CCAAGGAACTGCATATTTATGATCACTCACATGATGTCTTTAATGAACAGATTTTCAGTTTTATTTTAACCGATGACCTTTGTAATATTCTTTTTCATAACAAAGATGTTATAGAGTCGCACATTTGTATTTTGTTTGGCTGTGATTTAAAAAAAGTCCACTAGGCAATCTTCTGATTTTTGGATATGAGCATTGTCTGCAAGAAACCAAATGATCGGTTTGTATAGTTTGGCAATGAAAAAAGATGATTATCTCTTGATTGGTTACTGTTATTTCAGTGTCTGTACCACAGTAGAGTTATGGTTTGGACTGTCTTTATTTATTCTTTGGAGAACTGGCTTACACTGAGTCACACGAAACGTCAGAAAATCTGATTTTTTCTACTCATTGGGATATTACAAATATATTATTTCATTTTTCTATTGCTATTATTATTATTATTATCTATCGAACAAAAACTGAGTTGATTTACAAATTCAAATCATAAAAGCACTAATTTCCAATAAAATATTATGTTTTTCTTCTGACTTCTTAAGTTATGGAATGGGTTAAATGTTTTAAACGTAACTTCTAGGATATTGGTTCCATATGACTGACCATAGAGTGCACTTATAAGTAGCTTTATTGTCTAAATTTCCATAGAATTACTAAATTATTAGGGATTAATCCATACAATTTTTCATATTACAATAACAGCTGAAAAGCTTATCCATTAATATATTTATTATATGTTTCGATAGTTTAAACCATATGTTGTCATAATGACATTTCATAATTCACAAAAACATACGTCTAATATTAATTACAATGAGGTTTGTAGAGAATGTATTAATTTTAATGGTTGAATACATGAGTCGATTGAAGCTAGAACATCAATGAAACTCTAAAAGCACTGGACGGTTGTTTCGTCACAGTGTGAGAATCCTCAGCATGATGCCACACGTTGGATTCTAATCCAAAACATTCAGTCTTGCGCGCAAACTCTTAATTTTTAGACCATTGAGCCGGTCGGTATCCAACGATGTTAATGTCTAACTCCAATCGATTTATGATTTACTAAAACATCCATCCATTTTCTGATGTAGATACCTGTCTCTAACTTACGCTGTTTGACTCGATTGGTCATGGATTATCACTAGAACTCCAGAAAATGCATCTTGAAGGTAGTTTATATTCATTCTATATAAACTAATTTCAATCAGCATGACTACATACGAAAAATCAAGAAATAAATGTCTACATATACAACATAGATTAACATATACACAAACAAATAAGAACTGAGCAAAGTACTCTGAACAAGTAGTAGTAGTAGAAGTAGTAGTAGTAGTAGTAGTAGTAGTAGTAGTAGTAGTAGTAGTAGTAGTAGTAGTAGTAGTAGTAGTAGTAGTAGTAGTAGTAGTAGTAGTAGTAGTAGTAGTAGTAGTAGTAGTAGTAGTAGTAGTAGTAGTAGTAGTAGTAGTAGTAGTAGTAGTAGTAGTAGTAGTAGTAGTAGTAGTAGTAGTAGTAGTAGTAGTAGTAGTAGTAGTAGTAGTAGTAGTAGTAGTAGTAGTAGTAGTAGTAGTAGTAGTAGTAGTAGTAGTAGTAGTAGTAGTAGTAGTAGTAGTAGTAGTAGTAGTAGTAGTAGTAGTAGTAGTAGTAGTAGTAGTAGTAGTAGTAGTAGTAGTAGTAGTAGTAGTAGTAGTAGTAGTAGTAGTAGTAGTAGTAGTAGTAGTAGTAGTAGTAGTAGTAGTAGTAGTAGTAGTAGTAGTAGTAGTAGTAGTAGTAGTAGTAGTAGTAGTAGTAGTAGTAGTAGTAGTAGTAGTAGTAGTAGTAGTAGTAGTAGTAGTAGTAGTAGTAGTAGTAGTAGTAGTAGTAGTAGTAGTAGTAGTAGTAGTAGTAGTAGTAGTAGTAGTAGTAGTAGTAGTAGTAGTAGTAGTAGTAGTAGTAGTAGTAGTAGTAGTAGTAGTAGTAGTAGTAGTAGTAGTAGTAGTAGTAGTAGTAGTAGTAGTAGTAGTAGTAGTAGTAGTAGTAGTAGTAGTAGTAGTAGTAGTAGTAGTAGTAGTAGTAGTAGTAGTAGTAGTAGTAGTAGTAGTAGGAGTAGTAGTAGTAGTAGTAGTAGTAGTAGTAGTAGTAGTAGTAGTAGTAGTAGTAGTAGTAGTAGTAGTAGTAGTAGTAGTAGTAGTAGTAGTAGTAGTAGTAGTAGTAGTAGTAGTAGTAGTAGTAGTAGTAGTAGTAGTAGTAGTAGTAGTAGTAGTAGTAGTAGTAGTAGTAGTAGTAGTAGTAGTAGTAGTAGTAGTAGTAGTAGTAGTAGTAGTAGTAGTAGTAGTAGTAGTAGTAGTAGTAGTAGTAGTAGTAGTAGTAGTAGTAGTAGTAGTAGTAGTAGTAGTAGTAGTAGTAGTAGTAGTAGTAGTAGTAGTAGTAGTAGTAGTAGTAGTAGTAGTAGTAGTAGTAGTAGTAGTAGTAGTAGTAGTAGTAGTAGTAGTAGTAGTAGTAGTAGTAGTAGTAGTAGTAGTAGTAGTAGTAGTAGTAGGAAATGAGCAATCTACACTGTGTTCCATACAATTCTCTTCAACTGAATTGTCGGTTTATTCAACATGTTAATGAACATCATTATTATTATTGAATTCTCCTCATCCATATTTCAAGTGTATCAAACTTAGCTGCTGAAACTGTCATATATTATTACAAATAATTGATAAACTTTATACTTTCCAGTCTGTCTATTCTCTCTTCTACAAGTTTTCTGCGGTTGCTATCAAAATTTAGTAGTTTTAGTCATGGTCAAAGTTATTTCAACATTAGTTTGAACAGACAGAACTGTTCCTGCGTAAAACATATTGGTATGGAATCTAACGACTTTGCTGCCATACGTTATTTAATCGGCTAGATAGAAGAGTGAACGAGCAGAATATGTTAACGATCACTAATAAAAACACCATTTTAGACTAATTTGTTGACTGAAGTGTAGAGTCAGTTCATAATATACAAGACTATAAGTGAGCAAATAAAAAACTAGATACTGCTTTATTTGTTAGATGTAGTTTGTTTTATTTGGCCACTACCAGATTCACAATTCTAACATGTAATTCGTGATTCCAAAACCGCCACTTAATTCAGAGTAATATATCAAATATAACTCATTGATTTAGAAATAGATGTAATCTGTAAATTTATGTGACATAAAGGAAATAGCACGATCCTCAAATAAAACACGGAGAACACAAACCCAATCACACTTGATGGAGAAACTCTGGAAGCTGTGAAGTCTTTCACTTAACTGGGAAGCATCATCGATGAACAAGGAGGATCCGATGCAGATGTAAAGGTGAGGATTGGCAAAGCAAGAGCAGCATTCCTACAGTTGAACAACATATGGAACTCAATACAACTGTCTGCATGCCAACATCAAAGTCACGGTCTGTAATACGAACGTAAAGACAGTTCTACTGTGCGGAGCTGAAACGTGGAGAACTACTACAAACATCATCAAAAAGGTACAAGTATTTATAAGCAGTTGTCTACACAGGATATCCGCTGGACGGATATAATCAGCGACAGCTTATTGTGGGAGAGAACAAACCAGACTCCATGTGAAGAGGAAATTAGGAAAAGACGTTGGAAGTGCATAGGACACGCATTACGGAAATCACCAAACTGCATCACTCGGAATCCTAAGGGGGAAACGGAAAAGAAGATGGCCGAAGAACACACTACGTCGCGAATTGGAAGCAAACGTGAAAAGGATGAATATCAACTGGAAAGTACTGGAAAGGAGTATCCATGACAGTGTTGGATGGAGAAGGTTGATGTATGGACTATGGTCCTCATCGAGGGCCAAGTAAATAATTAATTAATCAATTAATTAATTAATTAATAAGAAGGAAAGTAAGTAAGTAAGTAAGTGTATGAATGATCTGTCAATATAGCAGCTGATTATATTAGAACTAGACTGTATAAACAGTCATATGTTTGTGGGCGACAATCAGCATCATGAAGCAGAATAAAAATTTTAATGGAAAAGTCAAGGTCAAACGTGAACAACAAGTTTTCGTCATTACTAATGATTCCATAAATCAAGTGATATGAAAAATGTGAATGACGAATGATTGACAGAATAATGAGCCTATGTTAACTAACTCAAACAAATATGTACACAGTGTGTTAACAAAATACTTGATTACGTACCCTTAGTTAGTTCAGTCCTGCTGAATACCTACTGAGTTTGTCCATGCTACTGCATTGTTTCCTAGATCTGAGATTAAAACACAACTACTTTAATTTGTAATACCACTCATTATGACAAATGTTATCGAAGGTAGCTTCAACAGTAAAATTTGTTTATGTTTACTTAAAAAGGGAATGAGTAGTGTATCATAGGTTGAAAAAAACACTGAAGTTCATTGCAATAAGGAAAATCTGAATATAAATCATAACCATGTGTTGAAAAAGTCAAACAACAGAAAACTGAATAGGTTGTGAATAATATTGTTGTGACAAAATAAATATTGGGGAAATGGTAACTTTTGGGACTATTTTACACTATATATATGTTGCATAATCATTAAATGAATGGATTATTATATATGTGCATTTCCTTTATCATAAGCTTCGGTTGGACTCATTGACTGTTCATATATGTCCCACCATGTTTTAATTGTTGTTGGTTGATTATTCATCTTATGCCACATTCTGTCACTTACAGCTTGATAATATATGTGGAGTAGGATTTTATTCCTCGGGCGTGTTGTGATCTGATGATTCCAATATAGTACCCATGATTCTTTGAAATATAGAAGCTCGTCTGCTTTGTTCTCTTACTGGGTTCAGTATCGGGATACAAGAAAGCCGTGAGTTTGTCGGACCAGTACTTACATAATTACTTACGCCTGTCACCCCTCGTGGAGGAGCATAGACCGCCCACCAGCACTCTTCATTCAACCCTGTTCTGGGCAATCCCTTCCAGTTCCTTCCAAATGCTATTCATCCTTTTCATTTCGGCATCCGATTCGCGACGTAGTGTGTTCTTCGGGCTTCTTCTTGGTGAACCAGTAGGTGTTAGATTATTCCGTCACCTCTCAAGCTTAACTGTGCCAGTTTAGCCCGATTATTGGTCAAGTCCACATCATTATTTTGTAAATGAGATGGTATACTCGAGCCAGAGACATAACTCCAGATTCTGGTTGATGAATCCACTCCAGTAGATCGATTAAGAATTTTGTAGCTAAACCAATTACATAAAAGTTTTATTAATGTAAAAGTATTTTCTCTTATTATTCCTTATTAGCATGTACAACAATGTTGTTGATGTGAATTCAACTGCTAAAACGTACTACTTACTCTATATAATGAACACAGACAATGGTTCTTTAACATTTTAAATTGTTGCACATTGAATTTATATGAAAAATTCAATATTCTCACTTCCAAAGAAAACACCTAAAACTTTGTGTAGAGTAAATTATTCAAACGCAAATCCACAAATTCAATATGGTCTATCTAACTTCAGTGATTTCATAATAAGTTGTAACTGTCATTCAGTCTCTTTGATGAGCTCTCTTTCCTCTTATCAGTATCAAAGAAATATTCACTATTAGAAATCCAATAAAATGAAGATGTAAATTGGAATTAAACCAGAGTATACGGATTTAAAAGAAACTTAAGCTGCACCATATTTATATATCAATGCTAGAGTAATCAGCTGAGTAACTGGTTGCAGCACTTTGCATACCACTTAGATAATAAATTATTTACTTCATTTTCCTTCTAAGGAAATAATTATCTGACATTGGTGTACCTGGAATAATTATTTTACAACTATTTTAGTAAGTGAAATAAGTTTTAGTTTAGGTATTAACTGGTATGATCGGATCGCTGCTGGAAAAAAGAAAGCAAATCTACATCTGTATCATTTTCTTTTTATCAACGTTTTGTAATAACCACAAGTATTACGTAACATAAGCAAGTTAACAAGCATAATGATATCAATTCACGACTTTAGCTAACTGATTTATAGACAGATAATTAAAGATGACCTGATTGATTCAATAAATGTAAATGGCATTGTGTCATTTATTATTGATTAAATAATTCACACATTACACAATTAGTACAGAATAATTAAATATTGAGAAATAGCTAAGTCAAACGACCAACAATGACGACAACAACAACAACGAAAAAACATAAGAAAGCAAGATATTGATGAATGTCTTAAAGATAAGTCAAATCAAAACATGGAAAGTATTGATCATCAATGTGCTGAATGAATAACAACGACAACAACAACAACAACAACATCAAATTACACAGTATTCATCTTCTGGAACTAAAGATTTTCGAATTTTATAAAAATTAATTTGACAATCTTCTTAAACGACCAATGTAAGGTAGATAAAAGCTTCCAGTGTATAAAGTATCATCATGTTCTAGTACTTCACAAGCATTTGGTAATTCATTTTGAAAATCTTTCCAAATTTCAATTATCTGTCCATTTTCATCTAAACGAATTAACATTGACGATTTTCCTTTCGGTATTAGTGTGAATGGAAGCATGGAGATAATCTGTTGCAAAGATAGAAAAAAATAATGAAATACTGAATTCTTACTTAGTTTGGTGGGAAATTGCATAGAAGTTTAATATGTGTCACTAGATTCTCTGATCTACCTCTATCATAATTCATTTTGAAGGTATTGTGAAGTTTATTTTACTTCGTAATTAGCTTCAGCTACAGATTCACATTAGTTAAGGTACCAGTGAAAACCAGGGAACATTTCTCAGTTGTTCCGTTGCAGTGTGGAAACCCTCAGCGTTTGCCCCTGCTAAGGCACCGATATAGAATCGTTTGATCCCTATTCATTTTCTCTGAAATGAGTTCTGTAGGTTTCATTGGGAATTCAAGACTGGTGGAGGTCAACCATGCCATTATGTGATTGCACTGCCATGTCATTAGTTGGTTGAATTTGAAAATGTCTACATACACTGTTCTAGGTTTACTACTCGACTGCCAAAAAATTCAAAAATGGAGTGACAATAAGATGGAGAATATTGATTATAAAAAATGCAGGAATATTATTAACCGTACACTGGAAGCCAACTGACGAATACAAGGATAAGCTGGTAGATAATTGAGTAGAAGCTCAGATAGAGGCTCGTCACGAAGAGGTGATACAGGGACCCAATATCCACCACTTGGACTGGCTTTGATATTATCCGGAAAACCAGGTAGCCCATCACTGAACACGGTCACTTCACCTCCGTCCAATGGAATTCGTAAAATTTGAAGTTTCATTGTTTCAACGAGTAATATGGATTTTCCGTCACTAGAAATTTCGATTCCGTTGGGAAAGCGCAAACCATCCATTATGTGACTGTATTGACCAGGTAAATGAAAGCTCCCACCTGTTGATGATTTTTTCCTTCAAATGTGATTGTGTTGGTGCTTCCCGTGTCGTATTCGAGTAACTCCTCCTCTGAAACTTGCCACTATGCCCAAAATTGAATTAATAGCCTGTGTTCTTTGCTCTTAAATTGGAAAGAATATAAAGGAACTGTTAATCA